AGGAACGGCATGTCGTGATGTTGAGGAGCGCTCAAAACAATTTGCATAAAATGGCTTTCTTTGGACTCAACGAATTCCCCCGAATATCACAACATCTCTTCGAAGAGACCTTTGATCTCGTCTTTCTGGACGCAGACACTCATGCCTTCCACCGCTACAGACGATCACTTATGGATCAGTTCAGCGCAAAGACAATCGACAAAATCAAACGAATCAATGGTTTGGATCTTAAGTTATATGAATTCGCAAAACAATTACTGTTTGAAAGGTTTGCGAAACTCAAACATAAAAACCCGAAACTCCGGGACTTAAGCGTGAGTTCTGTGGCTAAAGACAACAACGAGATCACCAATTGGGGCGACAGTGAAGACAAACTCAACAACTCTTGAGTCAAATGATTACCAATCGGTTGAATCGTTGATGAGATTTGGTTTTTAGGCTTAAGTTGTGTATAAATTACTTAATTACTTGTAAAGTTGTATAAATTAGATAATTATTTACATTTTGTTAGAATTACTGTTAGAATTAGTTTTGAAATTACGGTAATATTTATTTCATTTTTGCATTCAATGTACAAATCATATGATAATGAGATTAAAACTCTAAGATTTATTCGCGAGAACTTTGTTTATGCTTTTTATCATTTTTTCGTTTCATTTTCTTCTGATTCCTCTGATGTCTGGGATCGACACCCTTTGCCTTCAACTCCTGTCTCTGTTTCTTGCGTTTCATCCGAAGATAATACGGATTCTTAGCCAACGCTTCCGAATACTTCTTTTTGTTGAATCTCTTGAAGTCCGCGTCGGCCAACAGCTCGTCCACCAGAGTTCGCTTCCTATCCTTTTTGGGGACTCTCGAGGAATAGTAATCGGCTTTGGATTCGACAACAGTTCCGATTTGAAAGAATTTCGGCAATTCTTTGCTATCGTTCTTCTTGTAGAAGCGCTTCGGATCCCATCCTTTCCTCATATTCAGAGCCAACAAATCATTCTTCTTCTCGTCAGTCATATCACTGACTCTCATATCAAACCATTTCTTTCCCAAAGTCTTCGCCGACTCCTCTCTATTCATCTTCTTTCTCATCCGACGACTCATCCGAAAGGCTTTAATGCAATAGTTTTGTTCAAAACCCGCTTTTATGACACACTTCTCACTCAACGAGTCGTCCATTGTCTTCATCGACATATCGTTCAACAGTCGAAA